GGACAAATCCACCCGCCACCTCGCGAACTCCCCGCGCCAGGGCAAGACCCTTAGCACGAGGAGTGGGGGGGCAATTGATGAATGAAGATTTGGCCCGACCTCGTAATCACTCAACACGTGGCAAAGGCAACAGTTCGGCACAACAGCTCGCCAAGGCGTGAGCTCCGAGAGGAGGAACCAGTGGTCCGAACTCCCCACAAGGAGCCCGAGCTCTCCCTTAGGCCCTGAGCCTTACGAACACAAAGGGCAACAACCCGAACTGGCCTGCCCCACGGCAGTTCGGGTCACACTCCTATCCGAACTCAAGACTTAACCTCGCACACCACTCTAGCACTTCGCCCCGGGAACACCGAACTGAACAAACCGTACTTGACACCGAAGGAGTCTGTATCCAGGGGCGGCACACACCTGACTGACTTGGGATCTGACTCTTGACAGCCGCATTCCAACGGCCACCTGCCACCGCCATCTCCAGTTACAGAGATGGCTCCGACAAGGAGCAGTGGCGGTTCTGTCCCAGCAGAGGTGATGACATGACACCCGAACTGGTAGAAGCACAGGAGTAATCATACCCGACCTGACAAAGGCCTCGGAGTGAGTGCGCGAGGTGGTTGTAAAAAGGCTCTCTACCCCCGAGGAAGGTATGTGAACTTTGCGCCATTTGGTTTTATCTTGCCTTTGAGAGAATACTAACCCGAGCTTCAGAGTGATCTCGCCGGGTTCCTCCCCGGAGATTCCCCACCTTCATTTCAGGCCCCCCTGTTGCTCCAATCAGAGGCAAGATCGTTGACAGTTAGGATCGGCTGGATTGCGCACCATCAGGTTGCGTTTACCCGATGGAGTAAAATTTACTAAACATAATTATATGGTTTTGGTTCCATGGTTTTGTCTTGATTAATAATTGGGTCAGATTTTGTTCTTACCTATTTAGAACTTATTCAATCCATCATTTATTATTTTATGAAATATATAATTTTTTAACTTCTTGTAATTTGTAACATTTTTTTTTCTGTTTGAAACAGTGAATTTGATAAATAATAAATTATATAATATTAGTTAAAAATGATTAACTTATTAATATAAAAATAATTTATTTTTTATCAGTTTTATTAGGGTTATATTTTCAAATTTTAAAATTTAAAATATTATTTGAATAAATAACTATTGTTTTTAATATAGTAAGGCCTACGATTTTATCCCAATTAAATAATTTGGGCAAATGCGTACAATTCCTTTTCATTGTTTAATTCTTTATCACTTTTTCATGAGATTTGTATTTTGATATTTGATTAAAATATTCAAATAATTATTTGGCATCAAAATAAATGTCATAAAATTTGTACCCAACTATAATGGTTTTTGATTAATATGTCAACTTGAGTTATTCTGTTTGGTTGCTAAAATACTATGTAATTGAATCAAACCGACTCATGAACAACCCTAAATTGCATTAGGCTGTTGGGACAATGTTGTAGCATTGTATTAGTAATTGATCCCTGTCCGTATTGGCCTGTTGCTTACGAGACTCATAGGGCCCACAATAACTCTGCCATGTCTACCCACAATACACTACCCCGTGCATTGGAAACATCTCCCTGTGTATCTATACATACATACAACACACTACCTCACTCATGTTAGCATGTATTTTCGTTGAGATAAGCTATTTATCTAATTTCTCAGTTTTTTTGCATTAATCCTATTTTCTTATATTTTAAAATATAAAAAATTAATTATTATCATTTTTGTAGATCAATAAAACTGTGCACTATTATAGAGAGAAAGACCTTTGGGTTTTCCAAGGCCTCTTATTTTAATGCATATTATTATTACATTATTACATTAAAAAAAACATTTAATAGAGATAGAGAATAATAATATAAATACATTGAGATTAAACAATAAAAAAAGTATTAATTAAAAAAATCCAAAATTAGTAAATATTAAAAATGTATTTCAATTCCACTTAAAATCAAAACTTAATAAATGCTAATAGAAATAATAAATTTAAATATAAATATATTAATTGATAGTTTTAATAATATTATTAGATTACTCGTGAGCTGAGACCTTTATTGTGCATAATGAACTCATTAAAAATGCTAAAAATTAATGAAAATTTTAAATGCATGACCTATTTTATTAACATTATTTTATTGCAAAAAGTACTCATATGCAAAAATTATTGAATAATAATTAAAAAATACCAATAATTAATTAAAAAACTACAAAATTTTGAAAAACCTAAACATAATTAAAAAACATTGAAAATTAACAATATTTTATATTAATAAGGGTATTTGTTGAAAATAATTAAAAAGTACAATTGATAGTATTTTATTATTAAAAAATGTCAACAATTATTAAAAAAATACCCAAGCCAAAATTATTGAAAAATATTGAAAATTAGCTGTATTTTTTATTAACTATGGAATTTATTTAGTTATTTAACTTATTTTTAATGAAGGCAAATGCAAATTAGTTTTGTAGTGACAAATATGCATAAATAAATGCTGAAAATACTAAAAATTATTGAAAAAATACTCATATGCAAAAATTACCAAATATAAATGAAAAATACCAAAAATTCTAAAAAACTTATAACTTAATTAAAATACTAAAAATATTTCAAAAAATAAAATTAATTGTATTTAATTGCAAAAAAATACAAAATAATAATGAAAAAGGATGTATTTTAATTATTATTAATAATATAATTAAAAATAACTATTTTTAAACTATAATTAATAGTAATTATAATTTAAGCTATAAATAGTAGAGAATTACATTTAATTACCAAAAAGTTGTATTTAATTACCAGGAAATTACATTTAATTAGTTTTAGCCAAGAAATTAGCAATATTTCTAAAAATAATATATTTGTAGAAATTATTGTATTTTAAATAAATATAGTAATTTATTAAATACAATATTTTAATGACTAACAATATTTTAATTTTTAATTTTTAATAATTAATAATAAAAAGTAACAAATCGTTTATAACTTAGCATAACCTGTTTAGCTCTATAAATTTGTAGGCTTAAGCAACTATTTTCTTTTGATGTAGGCCTAGTTAAGATATGCACCATTTGACACATTATCTGGGATAATCATATTGGAAGTCTAATTGGGTATGATACTTCTAGAGTTCAGTGATGGCTTTGGCGGATAGTGCCCAAGCTAAACAACCCCTAATAAGCTCAACTTGGAAGTTACATGCATATATGATAAATATTATTATATAATATTTAAATAACAAATTATATATATATAAATGATATATTTTTATTTATATTAGACTATAATTAAATGATAATTTTAATTTGTAAAAAAAATCATAGTTTTATAATTAAGACGGGCCTCTTTATCAACAGAAAATGTGCAAGCTCGAGCCCAAACACAACTCGACCATCTGGCCTAGATATTGAGCTTGAGCCTAGCCCTTATATAAAGCCCAATTGAGCCCAAGCCCGATTTGTACACAAAATGTCTTATTTTCAGTATACTTTTATAAATTAATATTATATTAATTTAGTAATAATTTAATAAATCAATAAACGAACTTATATTTCATAATAGTAAATTGATATTTATTAATAATTTAAGAAGCATATATATATATGTATATATATTATTTATAACATAAGTACTTTTTTATATATGTAATAGTATCGGGCTGGGCTTATTTGAGAAAACTCAAGCTCGAGCCTACGAGTCTGAATTTTTGTCTGAGCCTGAAAAATAATGGGTCAAGCCGAGCCGAACCGTCGGGCAACCCGGTCCACGAATAGGTCTAATTGTATATATAAACAATTGTATACATAAAAAATCATATGAAATAAAAATTTAAACATATTTTTCAAAATTTTTTAATGAACCTCTCATAGCTTGACCTGATCCATGGCTTGGTTTGGTCCAAGGCTCGGCCCATGGACTAGCCCAAAGGCATAGCTCGGGACGCCTTGTGGGCCAACATGGCACAACCCACACAAAGTGTCGACCAATTTACACCTTTACTTGAACTCGCCCAATACTGGGGACGGGGCAAGTAAATTCAAGGATTCCTCATCCTTATAAGGAGTGGGGTGCATTGCCCTTGAACTCGACCGACATTGAAGAGTGGTTGCTTTGCCCTGAATTCACGTGACATTAGGGACAAGACAAGGATGGGGTAGAGTGTATTGACTAAAGGGCAGGGATAGGGATGGGGTGCCCCGCCTTGAACCCACCCCATTGTCATTCCTATATAATTGTTAATTAGTAGTGAAATTAATAAAAATGTTTACTTTTATAATTTTATTTATTTAAAGTTAATCAAAATTTCATTTAAAATAAATAATAATAATAATAATAATTATTATTAACATTACTATAAATTATAAATAAAACTAAATTTATTAAAAAATATTTGTTTATATTAAATGAACAATAATTATTTTTTATAAATCAACATTAAATAAAAATACAATTATTAAAATTTTAGATATTAATAATAATTCTGAATACTTTTAATTAATTAACAACAATTTTGATTACTAATTTAATATTAATTAATGGTAAATAAAATTATTAATTCTTTCAGATTTTACCGTGGCGCCTCACACGCACATGCTACCATGGAACATCTCCCGTATTTATTAGTGAATATTTACTGGAGATGTTCTCAATGCATGGTGGATGTTCTTGTGATGCGCCCATTTGTGAGGAGCAGATCCCGTCACTGTGGGAGGAAAGCTCGATCAAATATTCACACCGACTTTCTATTATCTGACACCAATCGGACGGCTAATAATAGACGTTACACTTACGATTTGAAATCATATCTGCGGCCCAGAGAGGGCGCCCCACTAACGCCGCGTATGCACATCTCCCAAAGATATTCCCAATGCACGCCGAGATGTGCATGTGGGGCGTTAGTGGGGCGCCCTGAGTGGGGCGCAGATGTGAATTCCTACGATTGCCCTCATAGTGTTGAGATCCAACCCTAAATTTGGGACTCTAAACTCGCAAACCCTCTCTTTCCATCGTCGTTGCTTCAAGCGAGAAGCGCATCCCAAACAAAACTCTCAGAACGGCTACTGTGGTGGCAGAACCACCGGCGAAGGGCGACTAGCGACAATCCTCAAACTTCTCCGTCTAACGACGGAGAACGGCGACTCTTGTGGATCTCCGTATTCTGTAAGTTCGGATTTTTTCCCTTTTTTTTCTTCCTTGATTTTTTTTCTCATCTCCCCTCACCATCCAGCTGTCCTCGATCTTTATTTCTATTTCAATTTTCTCCGCTTTTTGGATATGAAAGTTTGCTTTTGATCTATGACTTATTTTTTGACGTTCGACGAATGCTCGAGTTGATGTACTTAGGTTAATACTTCTAATCCGTGTTTTAGGTGTAACTGCAACATTATCGGTACTTTTGTCGATACGTACTCGTTTTTGTATTTGGTTTGAGTTTATGTATTTCTTGTTGGAATTTGGTGCCCTAGAAGTGATTGGATTAATCAAAGAATGCTATTTTAATGTGCAAATCGTTAATTATTTTCTTCTTTCGTTTCTTACTATGACATTAATTTTTTTTTGGTTTTCTCGATTTTGTATATATCGTGATCATTTTTACATGAATCTTAGTGTTTTTTTTTTTTTTTTCTGTATAATTGAAAAGGAGAAGCCTTTGGAGCAGTTACGTGTTTCTTGTGGATTTGGAAGTAACTGTAGTTTGTTTTCGTCATTCAGAATATTAGGGCCTGCTTGGTATTGGGCAGGGAAAGTTGTTGATTGATAGCCATGGCGACTTTTGCGAAGCCAGAGAATGCGCTGAAGCGTGCTGAAGGTTAGTTATTTTATTACCCCATCTGCAAAATTTAATTGCGTTTTCGTGTTAATGCCTTCTCTACTTGCTTAGGTTTTCTTGTTTTTATTCAATTTTCTGTTCTCATCATTTTTTTTGCTGCCTTAAATGGAAAACATTTAACTGCTTAGACGCGGGAAAAAGACGTCCACTCAGTCTCCTGCTCCACATACTCTAGTTGATTGTTCTGTGGTAATATTTAGAGGTGATGGTGTTTGTAGAAGCATAATCATCGTACATGAATTTTACTAAAGCATAATCATCGTACATGAATTTTACTAAAGGTCTCACTTGGATACCATCCAAAAGGAATGCTATTTTCATACTTGTGTGTGGGGCTGGCATCAATTTTGGGAAAATTATTTTGTGTGAAGTCTTCTTTGATACGAGCTTCTATTTCATGGTGTCAGTCCTCTGGTCAATAACTGGTGTGAAGAATACTATTCTGACATTACCATATTTCAGAATTGTTATTCACTTTTTTCATGGTGTATGGTGCAGAGTTGATCAATGTTGGACAGAAGCAAGCAGCCTTGCAAGCTCTTCATGATCTGATAACCTCAAAGAGGTATCGAGCATGGCAAAAGACACTGGAGCGGATAATGTTTAAGTATGTAGAGCTCTGTGTGGACATGCGAAGAGGCAGGTTTGCCAAGGATGGTCTGATTCAGTATCGTATTGTATGCCAGCAAGTGAATGTTAGTTCATTGGAGGAGGTGATCAAGCATTTTATGCACCTGTCAACTGAAAGAGCTGAGCAAGCTCGTAGTCAGGCACAGGCCTTAGAAGAAGCTTTGGATGTTGATGACCTGGAAGCAGATAAAAGGCCAGAAGACTTAATGCTAAGTTATGTGAGTGGGGAGAAAGGAAAGGACAGGTCCGATCGTGAGCTTGTAACTCCATGGTTCAAATTTTTGTGGGAAACCTATAGAACAGTCCTTGAAATTTTGCGTAACAACTCAAAGCTGGAAGCACTTTATGCAGTAAGTTACTTGCTCTTTTTACTCATGGTTTATTTATTTGTGTAACTAGTAGCAACTCTGGGGACCCCATGGTTTTGTTCTTCCAATTCTGGAAACACAAGAAAACTAATAACATGCATGCATTTTTGTAATTCTAGCAAAAGAGAGCCCCCAACCAAGACAATCTTAATTTTCTACTTCAAATGCTTCGTCCTGCCCATTTCCATCCTCATTCCATGTCTGTTCTACATCCACTATTTCTGAATTGCATTATTTTGTACATTATGAGTATTGATTATTTGCTTCTCACCTTCAGTGGCATGGATCGGAAACATTTGAAAAATACTTATAAACACATCTTAAGTCATATCTAGCAGATTGAACTCACCTATGTCAGAATGAATGCATTTCCTGATGTGGCATATGGAAATATGTTATATCTAGCAGATTGAACTGTAATTTTAAGTATTTATGATAGAAGGCAAAAGTATGACTCCAGAATTTCTTTTCTCTAGATGACTGCACATCGGGCTTTCCAGTTTTGTAAACAGTACAAAAGGACAACTGAGTTTCGTAGACTATGTGAAATTATTAGGAATCATCTTGTGAATCTTAACAAATATAGAGACCAGAGAGACCGACCTGATCTGTCTTCTCCAGAAAGCTTGCAACTCTATCTTGATACAAGGTTTGAACAGCTGAAGATTGCAACTGAACTCGAACTCTGGCAGGTTCCTATCATCTTCCTCCCTATCTCAGTCTTGAAACATGCTGATATGTAGATATTTGAATAGAACTCTTTACTAGTCCAAGAAACTTTTGTTTAATGTTATTGCTTTCATGATGTGTGCAGGAGGCATTTCGTTCAGTTGAGGATATTCATGGATTGATGTGCATGGTTAAGAAGATCCCCAAATCATCCCTGATGGTCATTTATTATGCTAAGTTAACAGAGATATTTTGGGTTTCAGACAGCCATCTTTATCATGCATACGCGTGGTTCAAGCTTTTTTCACTCCAGAAAAGTTATAACAAGAATTTAACCCAGAAGGATTTACAACTCATAGCATCATCTGTTGTTTTAGCTGCACTTTCCGTGACCCCCTATGATCTTACACATGGTGCTTCACATTTGGAGCTTGAAAATGAGAAAGAGCGTAATTTGAGAATGGCAAGCCTTATAGGATTCAATCTTGATCCAAAACGTGAGAGCAGGGAAGTGGTACTGTGATCTGTTCCTGTTGAATTCCTTTCAACTCTGTCTGATTTATGATGAATTTTCACTCACTGTTGGAGTATTTCTTTTTCAGCTTTCACGGTCTACGCTGCTCTCAGAATTGGTAAGATTGGACTTTTCTAGTTCTTGTATACTAGCAACACTTAATATTTCTCTCCCTCCTGGTTTAATTATGATTAATCTCGTATGACACACCTACATGCATGAATATATATACTTAAGCCATAAACTTATATTTGTTAACTCCTGATTTGTCACTTTCTATAATCATCTGTTGTGCCGCATCATTTTTCCCATTGTGGCATTTGAGTGAGAAGGCTGAGATGAAAATGGATCAAAACAAAACTTGTAGAGCAGAACAAGAAATGCCAATTAGATTAGAGAAGGTGGTCAATTCCTTCATCCTTCAATTGTTCTAGGAGATTATCTCTTCATATTACCCATGTATGGAAAGGTTGCAGCTGGATTGACTTGTACTGTAGCAAATGTGAAATTTACACCAAGAATTGAAGTATCCAAGTCAACTCAATATGGCACCTTCACCTTGTACAAGTGTCTGGGTATCATAGTATCCCCTTTGATTCACAATTTTTTTTTAACTAATCTGACACTAAATCATCATAATTTATCTTCTATCTATAACCATTGTACAAGATTGAATGAATTTCACAAATTATCTTATATTGGTGGTGTATTGGATGAGATTTATTATCCTTCTCAACATTGGTTAATCTGTGTCTTATTTACAGGTTTCCAAAGGCGTAATGACATGTGTGTCTCAGGAAGTAAAAGATCTTTACCATCTCCTAGAACACGAATTTCTCCCCTTGGATCTTGCTTCAAAAATCCAACCATTGTTAACTAAGATCTCCAAGCTTGGTGGCAAGCTTGCTTATGCTTCTTCTGTTCCTGAAGTGCAACTGTCACAGTATATTCCAGCACTGGAAAAGCTTGCAACATTGAGATTGCTTCAGCAGGTGCATATTTATGAAGTTTTAATTATTTATTGTTTTGTTATTGAAAAAGATATTCATAGTTTTCTTCTTATCCTTGATGTGATTGTTGATGTGCTGCTTTCTGCTTTTCAGGTTTCCCAGGTGTATTGGACAATGAAAATTGATGTTCTATCCAGGATGATCCCATTTTTTGATTTCTCTGTTGTGGAAAAAATTTGTGTTGATGCTGTTAAATATAATTTCGTAGCAATGAAAGTTGATCATATGAAGGAAGCAGTTATATTTGGTAATATGGTAAGTACACATGCCCACAAAGTTTCTGATTTTAGAGTTTTAGTTGGTCTCTAAGCTGAAGTAATAAATAAATTACAAAAATTTACAGTGGTATATGAAATTCTGTAGAACACATAATTTTTTAAGAATACATAAAATTTCAGCATATGTACACTTTCCTGTACCTGCATTTGAGCAGGTAGCAGAAACAGATGTTCCATTTCAGAATCCATGAAAATGATTCCAAGTGTAAAGTCAAGTGTCGTCATCGTTTATTAAGGAAAAATTACCATCATTCTTGTCAATGTTATTGTTATCATCCTTGGTGCTTAATTTCAACCATCCGGTCTATTCTCGACTATCTTGTTGAAGTGGAGAAACAACCAAAGCGGACAGACTTAGTATTCATTTTTTGTAATCTTTGAATTTAATCTTAAATCCTGATTATAAAGTGGTTGAATCCTGATCTAAAAGTTCTACCCATTATATGATCAAATTCAGGTTCATAATTGGAACCTTTCATCCATTTTAACTCATGCTTTTGATTCGGTATATTTTTCCATTAATCCTCATCAGAATATGTAAGGCTTCAAGCTTTATGTGGTAGGGTGATAAAATAAGGAAAATACAAATTATACCATTATTTATTTTGGATTTAGAGGTTCATTTACAAATTGAATTCTCTTTGTCAGGATCTTGAATCAGACTGGCTCCGTGATCACCTTACTGTCCTTGCTGAATCATTGAATAAAGCAAGGACCATGATTTATCCTCCAGTAAAGGTTTCAAAACTAGGAGAGACCTTGCCTGGTTTAGCTGAAATTGTGGATAAGGAACATAAGAGGCTTCTTGCTCGGAAATCAATAATTGAGAAACGCAAGGAGGAACAAGAACGGCAAATGTTGGAAATGGTAATTATTTTTTATTGTGCATTTCATTGGATTCATCTCAATATCATATTCCCAAAAATTAGTTAATTGTTTATCCTGGAATTTATTTCTCATTCTGCTTGTTCTTAAGGAACGCGAGGAAGAGTCAAAAAGACTGAAACTACAGAAGATAACCGAGGAAGCTGAACAAAAGAGACTTGCCACTGAGTATTCCAGAAGAGAGGAACAACGTATCCGTAGGGAAATAGAAGAGAGAGAGCTTGAAGAAGCACAAGCTTTGCTTCAAGAGGCTGAGAAACGAAGCAAAAAGAAGGGAAAGAAACCAGTCATAGAAGGGGTAAGTTTATACTTGGTGTTTTATCTTATTTCCACTATGAATAAACATTATTGTGTATTCCCTCCTTTCTTCTCTTCTTTCTGTGTTTTAGCTCGTCTCTGAGGAGATTTTTTGAGGATCTGTCTTTTTGCAGGATAAAGTGACCAAGCAAACCTTGATTGAATTAGCTTTGAGTGAGCAACTCAGGGAGAGGCAAGAAATGGAGAAGAAATTACAGAAACTTGCTAAAACAATGGATTATATGGAAAGGGCGAAAAGAGAGGAGGAGGCACCATTGATTGAGGCTGCATTTCAGCAACGACAGGTGGAAGAAAAGATCCTCCATGAACGTGAACTGCGGGTATGTTTTTAATTTTTCCTTGTTTTTTTTTCATACTTTATTCTAGTTAATAGAAAAACAGGTAAAAAATTCTGTGCTTCACTAGTTTGGCAGGTTGCACTTCACTGTCTGAAAAGCTAATTCTTTAAAATGAAATTGAACAATAGGAAAGCCTCAACTCTCAAGAACATAAAGAAACACTTCCAACCCACTGGAATAGACCTTTTATTTTTGAGAACAAGGCTGCATTTTTATTTTTTTGTAGTGTGATGTCTTGCACTACTGTAACACATGGAAGTGCAAATTATAAGAATGATTCTGGTCAGATTTTGATTATAATTTTACTTTGATTTGCTTCAAGTTTTATTTTACTTAACCTGTAAATGTTTTGAAAATTGTTATCTGTAAATATTTTGAACTGAATTGTATCAAGAATCGGATCGTAAATCATAAGATTTTTTTTTTCTGATTTTTATTCATCGAAAAAAGATTTTTTTTTCTGATTTTTATTCATCAAAAAGATTTTTTTTCCTGAATTTTCTGAAAGTTTTCAAAAACCTATAAGAATACTTAAATATCTCAAAATATAGAAGACAGATGATTTTTTGTTCTAACTTTCAGCTAACAGAGTACATAAGTAGGTAATATTAGTGACAATTGCACTACTTTCATACCAGAGCAATAGTCATAAATCATAATTCAATTACTCCTATGACTTTTAAAGAAAAAAACCATAATGTTCTCTAGTTACTATTGCTACATATAAACATTATATACGATTAAAGAAATTAAATCTAAACTGTAAACTAAGATATCATGATTCATGTACACATTTTAATTTTGAACACTAAAAGCTAAATACACATTAGGTGTTCTGTTTTCATAGAAAAAGGATACAAAAGCAAGGAAAAAAATATAGGGCATAACCCCTGTTTTTGTGTAAAAATGTTGGAAAAAATGGGGAGAAGCACCTATTTTGCATCAAGAGAATAAGAGGGTGAAAATTGTAGTTCAAAGTCCCTGTTTTTGTACAAAAAGAATAGGAAAATATCAGTGATTTAAAAGGCGTGCCTAGGCACACAGGCGAGGCGCATAATGCGCCTCGCCTAGGTCCTAGGCACAGCCCTTTCAAAAGGTGCACGCCTGGTGCGCCTAGGCGTGCGCATGATGCGCCTTGCGCCTCAGCCCAGGTGTGCGCCGTTTGAAAATTTGGCTCTTTTTTGCTTTTTTTTGAACATAACAGCTGGGCCGGGGGCGGAGCCCCCAGACCCACTGTGCCACGCCCCTCAAGGCAAGCCCAAACAAGTCCACGTTAGGTCTTAAATTCTTAGTTTTCACAAAAAAAATAATGATTTTATAGTTTTAATAATCCATTTTATTAGGATGAATGAATGAACAACATTACCAAATTGGGGGTTCTCAGACCTGACTTGTTTGGGCTTGCCTCGAGGGTCGTGGCACAAAGGCGGCTCGTAGAATCAGGAATGTAATATGTTTTACATTACATTAGCTATGTGAAGTACTGCAATTGTGTGAAAAAAGAGATTAGAGTACATGCTTTAAAATGTTTTATATGTTTGAATTTATTTTTAAATTCTCATTTGAATATGCTTTACATCTTATGTTTATGTATTTTAATTTTAGATAATAGGTTTTTTAAAACATTATTTTAAAATTTTACTTTATATTTTTTAGTAATGTTATGTTTAATATTTTTTTTATATTTTGGCTTTTTTTTAATTTGCTGACATTTTTTTTTGATTTTTTAGCATTTTTGCGCCTTGCTTCAAAAAGGCGCGTGCCTCGCCTTGCGCCTTTTTTGTGCCTTGCGCTTTTAAAAAACTGGAAAATATGGGAAAGAGACATTGTTTTACATTAAATAAGAGGGGGGGGGGAATAGTAGGGTGGTGCCTTGTTTTTTGTGTTGAAAATGATAGAAAAAATTGGTTAAAAACCTCCGCTTGCATCAAAAGAAGAGGGTGCAAATAGCTGGATGGAGCCCCGTTTTTTTTTTGTGTTAGAAACAATGGAAAAAAATGGTATTTTACATCAAAAAATAAGAATGTTTTTGAGAAAAGTAAAGAAAGAAGGGAAAATGCAGGGCAGGGACTCTGTTTTTGGAATCTAAAGAAGAGTGGAAAATAGTAGGGTGGAGCTCTATTACTTGAAACCCTGGGGAAAGTTGCCCCTAGGTGATACCCGTCTCTTAGGTGGGTAAATAACTTTCTCACCTAGGGGGAAAGCTACCAACACTTGAATGGGAAATAGAAGAACATGGGTAAATGCACTTACCCGGGTAAGTGTTTCCTAGGAAAAACTTACCCAGGTAACTGCACTTACCTGGGTAAGTAATTTACCAAAAAGCGAATGGGGCCTTGATGAAAAAGAAGAGGGTTTCCGGTAATAGTGGCTTTAAGAAGGAGAAGAAGAATACTTACCTTGAACAGACTAGCAGCAATGGAAAGGACTTAGCTATGTAGTATGGAGCTTTCACGCATCACAACAACAGTCTTGGAGGAGGGTTTTTCTTCCCACCCAATCCTCCATATAATGGGATTAAAAAATGAGGTCTATGACAGTCTTTTCATTTTTAAAATCAATTTAAACAATCATATGAATTACATATAAATTGCGCGTTGCGATTCAAATCTACGATTCGTGCATAAATCATATGATTTTTGCAAAAAAAAAATCGATTTATATGTATGATTCATATCGCTTTATGGATTATTCAAAATACTAATCGTACAATTTGAATCTCATATTGTACGATTTTAACAACATTAACAAACAAAACAAGGTAAAAAATGAAGCAAAATCAAATCAAAACTTCCGGATTCTCATGTTTGCACTATTAATTTTTCTTAATAAAACTTTCTGTTCATCAAAAGGCAAAATATCTGCACATACTAGAAAATTCTGTCAAAGACAAATGGATCTTCTATTTTTCATAACAAAGAGACATTTTTGCATGCAAAAGATAAAAGGTGCTTTCTTTTGATCCTATACTTTGGTAAATTTTCCTTCTTTATCAGATATTTTTGTTTCATTCCATTATGTGTTTCATAACCTGATTCGATGCAGTCAGGGCTAGAACAAACATACAGTAGCTAGAAAGAGAGTAGTAGAGAGAGGAGAAAGAGAAAAGAGAGAGATCACAAGGAATCACTCCTAGGATCCTACTAGAATCACCCTAGGCTTTGTAGGAATTAGTCCTACAACAAACTTGCAAAAGAGCTCTTTATTTGCTTCTAAAGGAAGAGAATGCATCTATTTACAGAGTGACGTGTGGCCTAGAGTACTGTGCATCATAATTACAAAAATGCCACTCCTTGTATTTGTATCAAATAACACAATGACTTGCTTTCTGCTAATGCTAATAAACTGAGAAATTGAAAGGTATACCCTATAAACAAGGTCTTAATGTTGCCGTTGACTTGGATAGTCAAATTGTCCAGCCCAAAAACTGGCCAGATCATCAGTTTTGTTAGCCTTGAACTGCTTTTTTGAGAAAACCCATTGGGTCTGAGAACCATTGATCTGGGCAACAGTTCACAGTTTAATTTCCTAACAAGAAACTGAAAATACCTCTACTGTCCAAAGTCATAGAAGTACATAAAATTTCAGAAAATTCCAAATTTGATACTTTTGCTCCTGCATCATCATTCATCATCTGATCTTACTTTTTTACAGTTCCCTTGGCTAGTAGTAACTGATGTCACAGGAGTTAAATCATTGTGCTGCCCATTGTTGCTGTTTGCAAATCTTATCCATACTAATTAATGTTTCATACTACCCTGCAGCAAGAGATTGAACTCAGTAGGCAGCGCCATGCTGGAGATGTTCAAGAAAAGAATAGGCTTGCACGTATGTTGGACATGAAGGTTAGTTCATCATTATGTTATAACTCACCTGGATGTCCACTGAGATTTAATCCTAGTTTTTTATGAGCTCTTGTTTCCACATAAGTGTTTGAAACACTTACCAAAAAAATTATAAGTGCTTGAAACTGCCTCAGTTAATGTTGGTAAAAGAAGAATCAAGTGTTTGTGTACTCTAAAGGGGAAAATTCTTCATAGTTCTATATTTTGTTTGTTTTTAAATTTTAACTTGCCACAATGTGCCTAACAGACTGGTTAAGAAACTACTTAGGGCAATTCTTTAATATTTCAGATATTAATTATTGGTATTTCAATTTGGTTTTCATTTATTGCAGAAGATATTCCAGGATAGAATTGTCAGCCGCCGAGAAGCTGAGTTTAAAAGATTGAGGCAGGAGAGAGAGGAAAAAATCAAGAAACTTCTTCAGGCCAGAAAACAAGAAAGGGAGACTAAGAGAAAGTTATTACATTTCCTGAAGTTGGAGGAAGAGAGGCTGAATAAGTTGCGTGAAGAAGAGGAAATTCGAAAACGTGAAGGTATAGCTTCTTTATCCAAATCTCAGATGTTAATTAGAGATATCCTTTTATACCCACTACATTTTTGGCCGAGTTCCGCAGAATTAAGTGAATTTCCCACTTGGGGGCCCTGCGATTTGCGTGTGGCTCCTCATGATTTTCCATACATATGTTTAGAGCAGATCACCATCTGATTGGGCTAACCTAGTAAGTTCTACATAAAAGATATCATGATCACAGGACATTTAACCCTCTGCCTTGTTATTTTTAGCTTTCTAATGAATTCTAGAGTTTTCCCCCACCTTCCCAAATTCTGCATATATTTTCTTACTTATACCTGGTTTATGTCTCCCATTATCTTCACGTGGGACAAATAATTAGATGACGGTAGGGATGCAATACCTGGTTTATGTTAAAAATTTGAATGGGCCTGTCCTGGAATCCCAGGTCTGCTATAGTATAAATTCTTCAAATCAGTTACCTGACATGCACAGCCCTAGATGATGGTTATTGATCCTTTATGTATATTTGTGGCAAAATTTTCTTTTCCTAGTCCATTTTACACTTCTTGTGGCTCAAACCCAAATATATCTTGGAAAGTTATTTTTTTATTTTAGGTACTTCATACTCGCACCAAAATTGTGTTTTCCCCTCTGTATAACATTTTTTTTTGCTTCATGGGACTCCACAAAGGGGGTAGCCCATCCCCTCCCTTAACCCCCTTTGTATAACTTGATTGCTGTTATCTGGCCTCTAGTCAACCTTGCCGTATAACTTGGATTTGTAGTTTTTCTAACAAATATTAACCATGTAAGTTAATCTTTATATATTAAAACAAAACAGGCCGTGTCAGCAGGCCTCTCCTTTCCTCCTTCGCCATCTGAGGCTTCTCCTACATTGTCCCTCTCTCCTCGTACCTTTCCTATCTCTCTCATGTTGCCCTTTCAGCAGCCCTCATTCCTCCCTCCTTCTAAGCTCTTTCTCTCAGACATGCATACACATTCCCAATCACTTGTTCCATCTCCTTCCTAAAATATCTCCTGAACTTTCATCCCACCTAAAACTTCCTACAAAAGCACCTCCTAATCTATCTCACAAGCCCAATAAATCATCTAATTCTATGTCTCTTTCTCTTTCCTCTATCTGTCTCTTTGTCTCTCTATTTCTCTCTCAACATCTCAATCCATTGCAGGTTCCAACTTCAACTTTGTTTGTGTTGGTAATACTGTTTTCACAATTAAAACACATATAAAATAGTTGTACAAGTGATCGCAAATTGAAAAAAAAAACTGGCCATCGTCGAACCCATTTTACTCATTGGGCGAAGAAGATTTTGAAAACGGGTCAGCTCTGACCCGTTTTAAAAATGAACATGATATCTAATTGTGGGTTCATACATTACAACAATATGCCCTTTTACTAGTGGTGAGAGCCACCACCTAAGATTATTTGTCATAAAAGATTAAAACCACCATGATAACTGACAAATATGACTTGGTTATTAATTGTGCAAAAATAATTTAATATTTACTAATAATTATTTTAGTAATGTAATAATTACTAACATTAACAAAAAATAATTATTTGTATAATCCTATAGCCATTATTAATTGTGATTACCAATAAATATTATAATTTATAAACTATTTAAAAATTGAAAATAATAAAAGTTGAGCACATTTAATAATATTGATTTTTCTAATAAATATAAGAAATATTTATTTATTTTTAATTTAATTTCCACCAACTTGCAACGATGTTAAAATATCCTACATGGAGACTGGATTGTTTTTTCCTCCAGGTATGGTCACCAATTTGACTGTCTGGGTTGGATGGGTTAGACTGTACCACATAAGCATATTTATATATAGAAATATACTATGTATGTATGTAATATAGGTATGACATGTATTGCATCAATAAAATAATGTATGATTATATTTCACATACAATATATGCATATATATTGATTTATGTTTATATTATATTTTATATCAGTTTTTATTTTTATTTTTAAAAGAATATTAAAAATTGGGATTTGAGGCAAAAAAAGGATTTTTTTGGTGAAACTAGCGGGGGAGGCATGTTCAGCCCTTGGAACACAGATCTTGATATTACCCCAAAAAAATAGTGCTTGAATTAGACTTGGGTTGACTTGGCCTAATTGAATTGCCATAGTTTTTTGTTTTTTGCATCAATTTGGCTTTATCCCCATGGTATTACTTGTGTTTGTACTTTTTCCAACAAAGTAAATGACTTTAATCTGGAACTTGCTATACATGACAATTTGCTCTTAGGTTGAAATTTACCCATTGAATAGAGGCAGCAAGACAAGCTCTTTCTTGGTTCTTAACTAGATTGCAATATGTTAGAAGTTAGATTTTTGTTGTTCAGGGAAGCTCATTAAGTTCTTTCTTGGTTCCTAACTAGATGTTCTCCCATGTGTTGTATATCTGTGGGTGTGTGCGTGTGTAACTGCTTGAACCTCTCTCTCTCTATTTAATGCATTCTTGACACTTGGTTCTTTGATTTGCAGAGGCTGAGAGACGAAAGAAGGAAGAGGCTGAGCGGAAGGCCAAATTGGATGAGATAGCTGAAAAACAGAGGCAAAGAGAAAGGGAAATTGAAGAGAGGGATAGGCTCGCAAGGGAGGCCCGATTTGCTAAAGCAAATGAACCACCAGCGCGTCCTGAGCCAGCTGTTTTGGCCCGTTCATCGGAGCCGGTACCAGCCGCTGCAGCTGCAGCTGGTGCTCCAACCCCTGGAAAATATGTCCCCAAGTTTCGGCTACAAGGAACCACAGCGCCTCCTCCAGAATCTGATAGATGGGGCAAACAGGATGAACGCCCACCGCAATATGAAAGGTGGCGTGGCGGTGATGATCGTAGAACGTCATATTCTGGGGCTGGTTCAAGGTCTACCTCCTCATGGTCATTATCCAGGCCACCTCGTGGTGGCTCTGAGCGCTGAGATCATTGCGAGAGCTGCATTACAACATCGTACGAGGTTGTTTATCTGATTGCAACAGTTGAAAACTGTCATGTCTTTTTTCTTTCTTTTGGTAGAGATACTTAAGGCGTTGGAGGCAGAAATATTTATCGAAGGACTTTGCTGCATGAACATTTGTTTATTTCTTCTGTTAGAATTTGTTTATTTTGTAGTTGGGACTATCAATTTTCATGTTTGGAGACGTCTATTTGAGAACAAGTAATTTTGAGGCAATTAATGACTGCATTTTGTCCTTTAGTTTACTTCTATCTTGAATGTTGGGAGGCCTAACCTGAAGGAGGTTTAGTGATTTTTGTCGTGGGGATGGAATATGAGCCTGTTATTTTCGTTTTTGTTGGATGTGTGGATTGGTGGGCGAGATGAGAAGAGGTAAATCCCTAAAATAAGGAAAGCCAAATGCAGCCTAAGAGCATAAGCAAAAAGCCATGACAAATTTGCAATAGATGAAGCTGCCATGGAAATGGATAAGCCCGGCTTGTATTAAAATGTGACGGGAATTAAAAAGTTTTTAGATCTACCAAGCTTTAAATCAACAACAGAAAACCAGATTAGTTCTCAACTTTGTCGCCGATTTCAATATTTCATGGTAAGGTTTTAAAAAACGAACTAGAAACGGAATCTGTCAGGGGACCGGTTTTTGGTTAAGCGGTTTAATCATCTGGCTTGAACGGTTTGACTTGTGATGTCATAAATAAATTAAAAATTAAAAATATAATTTCAACTTTTGGGAACCACCCCCACTTTCAGGCCCGAGCCTAAAGGTATAAAATTCAAAAAAAAAATGCAAAGCTTTGGGGAACCACCAATTTCGAGCTTGACACTCAATTGGGAACTACCAATTTCGAGCTTGACACTCAATTGGGAAATGGGTAGAGAATAGTGGGCATGAAATATACCTTCACTGTCACTACAGGTAAGCTAGCAAAATCGCCACTGCAAGTTGGTTGCCGGACTTGTTATAGCCGCAACCCGCAACTCTTACTGCTGGATCTGCTGCATAATCAACATTGGCCGCTGTAACTGAAGCTCACCGCCGTCGCTGGTTGCCGTGATTGCCGTTGGTTGCTGTGTATTGCCGTCAGACGCGTAGGTCGTGGCTGCCGCAGGTGGTCGGTTGGGTGTGACGGCTGAGAGGAGGGAAGGGTTAAAACGAAAATAGGGTCATTCTAACCCTAAACGAAAGAGATGGGATCAGGGATATGGGGTCATTTTTTATTTTATTTTATTTAAATCAGTTAAAATAAAAATGATAACCCATGAAACGCTGCCTGGGTCGAACGGTTTAGCTGTTCGATCGCTTGAGTCAGCGGTTTTCTGTTTTTTTCCACGAGTTTTAAAGACTTACCGGTTTATAGTATAACCGGACCCGGGGGCTGAACGGTTACCGGTTTTTCCGGTCGGGTCTGGTTTTGAAAACCATGTTTCATGGATTAAAAACCAAATGCCATGATGATTTGACTCTTTGCAGATATCTTGGATGGTTCGATTAGAATCTTGTTGCAGATAAACAGGCGCTCCTTTTTTAAAATCAGTAATCAATACCAAGGTTCAAAAAATTGTTATATATCGGTCCATATTGGCCGATTCGTATCATATTAAGAGCACCCTGATACGCTCCTACAGAGGGTGTATCGTGGGTCGTGGGTCTGAGTCTGACCGGTTCAGATGATGGAGAAGATTGTCCATCTGTGGCGAGACATATTTTGGATAAACACGTAATAATATTTGGATTTTGAATAACCAACCGAGTGGTGGGTACGTTAGCTGGGTAGTCCCAACGGCAGGAGGATTCGAGTCCCACTATTACCATCTTCAAGAGTAATTAGTGTGTTGTGTTAAATACCGAAAAAAATTATGAATAGGTTATAGATACAGTAAATCCATATTTACAATTATCAATATTCAGAACCCAGATCATATAGACATCATGCAATAGCTTAATTTACTAATTTTATATTAAAAATGTTAAGCTTTCAATCAGCTATTATTTTAATACCATTAATATTATTTAAGACAATAAATAATTTTTATCTTTTGAATTTTTCTATTTTTAGAAAAATACATAAATCTAAAAATATTCTAGAACTTGCTTCATGCAACGTAGACCGTTCCCTCACTTCATTCTATACGTAATTCATTTCCTATCCACCCCTTGATGACATCTTCGAAACCGCTTCCAACACTCTAAGTTCATTCTTATCCTTATTGGCTTATACCTATTGTTATATTGTTTATTTGTTCTTTCAACAGCCACTCTTGTTTCAACAATTAAGGTTTTTATTTATTTATTTTTTATTTTTTAATTTTAAGGTGTTTCAACAATTAAGTTAATCATTGAGACTAAGATCTTGATTAATTGTTGAACTACCAAAGGTGGCTTTTGGTTTTTGGTAGTGTCAAATGATTCACCAGTAGGGGTGTATCGGATGAATCGGTACTATTTTATTTTACTTTTTTATTATTTTTTTTTTCTGAAACTGATTCACGGGACTGGTTTAGGGATCCTCCACCCCCTGAACCGGTCAGACCCCCAAAATACCCACTATAGGAACATATCTAAGGGGTCCCGGACAATCAACTGATACATGTTGATATTTTGAACCTTGATACGGTTGCACCTCCAACCTCATTTGGAGGTAGCACACGAAACATATTATATATATCTTTTAGAGTTCAGATTTACTGAATGCGACCAAAGCCTTTATTCAACAGTATTTTGATTCTGATTATAACATTTAGGAGACGGGGTTTTAGCTTAACTTGTTCATAGTCAAAAACATTTAGGAGAAGGGTTTTAGCTTAACTTGTTCATAGTCAAATAATTTAAGTTTTTGAAGTTCTACCGAATTCACCGCTCTGAGATGTTTATTCTTATGAATTTGATTAAGAAAAATTTATGGTGGCCACCCCCTATTAGGAAGAAAGTTTGCGGTGGAGGTGTATGCTATGCCAGTACGGTGCATCCCGCATGCAGCCTGTGCAAAATGTGGGTCGTACTGTGCTAGCTTATGGGTTGTGTCTCTTTCCTTTGGGATAATTTGGGGGTCGGTTCGACAATGCCACTGCTTGAACCCGCATGTGTTCGTATTGTGCTAAGGGTCAAGCCTTGTGCTAAGGAACGACCCACTTAGTTGTTTTGTGTCGTGCCAATCCATGGACCTGAAAACCCTAAGTCTGTCAAGACCCATTCCATCGTGTCATACTTGGCACAACTTGTGTATTGTCGTGTTAGGCCGCAGGTAATACGATCCAATTTACGACTCTAATTTGGGGTTAAAAAAAGTAAATAAATAAAGGATTAGTTTGGGAGATATTCAAAAGGTAAAATGGTGTAATTGGGTCGAATGGTTTAAATGTTGGGATTATAACTGATAATGACAATTTTTGGGTCTTATTATCAATAAAAACAATATTTTTAACATAATTTATAGAATATGGTAACTTTTTTCTTTTAAATAATAAAAAAGGGTAAAAACACTATTAATCTTCTTCATCTTCAAACCACCGAACAAATCTCCCACCTCCGATCTTCTTTTTCTTTTCCTCATTCTCCTTCTGAAACAATTAGAAGAACAATGGGAACATCTCCCACCTCCTATCCACATCTACCCACATGACCAATGCTGTACAATGGGAACATCTCCCCACGGAAGATATTTTTAATGCACAGCTATGGTGTCCTGTGGGCAGGAGATCCGATCTCGGTCGAATGGTTCCAACCGCTTAAAAGTTAAACCATGATCCAAACAGCTGACCCCGTACTTGCAATTTGCAACAGCATCGTAAATATGTTCTTTAAAGGAGGGTAATTTCGGTAATAAATCTCTATAAATATGAGTGGTTCATTTGAGAAATCTGCTAGGGTTTCCGGTCCTTTTGGGGTTTTGTGGAAGTAGGAGTTGAGAAGGAAGCGATCGACTCAGGCAGAGCCTTTTCTCTTATATTCCGTTTCTTTCTTTTAACGATTTCTATTCGTTGTCGATAATAGTTTCTTACTGTACTGTAGTCGGAGTTCTCTCGAATGCCTTGTGTTTGGTTTTTTCCATACTTCTCATCAATTTTTTTTTTTTTTTCTCAGAATGTGTTGCAAGGATGAAACCCATAAGGAATCATCGAAAAAAGCATTTAAAGTGAATGCTTGATGTGATTATACAATCCTGAGCGGTTACCTGAGCAACATTTTAATAATTAGTTCAAATTCTTTTGGTATCTGGGTCTGGGCGAATTTTACTTGCTTTGGATGATGATTATGTTATCACTGTATGTCTTGTTAGTTGTACGCGGAATCTACCTTTCTTTCTGAAATTGATGATCCTCCGATGATCAAAACGATTTGAGTGATTCAAAGGAAAATTTTGACAACAGTAGTCTCTTTTTATATTTCGTCTGTGTTTATTACCTTTCCCTTCCTTTCTCTACGTCTTTCTTTCAAATCAAACTCAATCTTACCCTTTCAGCTTGGAAAAATGGAATAAGCTTTTTTGCAGTCAAGCGATTTACAGAACTTTTGTTTTCTTTCTTCGGCATTTTTTTCTCCTTTTTTGGTTTATCTCCTCTTATATATAAAGTCTGTCTTTTTGTTTTCAAATATTTTGAGACTCAGATTATTTCATTCCAATGATTCAAAGCATGGTAAAAGGATCATTATTTTAAGATCCCTGCATCTGCCAACTAAGGATGGAAAACAGTCTTGTGCTCCAGAAAACGCCTCTCACCGAGGTCCTCTACTTCTCTGTAACTTTGCAATGAAGACAGCTGGCTCACTCTCTGTACAAAGACAGACATGCGCAGTACTCGTTTTCTGCAAGTTATCCTCGGTCAAGCATAGAAAAATCACTTTAATGTTTTAGAGGGTATTGATGATCCCTGAATCTTTGTGGGGTGGATTCCAAACTGAGATTTAATTGGGACTAATAGGTCAAATGAAGCCCTAAAAACTGAGATTTAATACCCCTTGGAATGTTTTTCATTTTTACTATACTAGCTGAGTAGCCTGAAGCCCTAAAAATTTTGTAACCCTTATTCCCGCACAAATCAGCACGATCCACTTTACATGTATATTTACTAAAATACCTTAAAAAAAATTTTTCATTTTACTTCACTTAACCCTTTTACAGACGTTTTTTTCTTTGAATAATAAAGGTGTTTTTGTAACTTCAATGTTTTGTTACTGAAATTTTATTTTTCAAAACTATAGTGGTCAAAACACAATGATGGTAGTTTTTTCATAGACCAATAAAATTTAATAAATTAGCACTAAGATAAAAAATACAAATTCATCTGCAACTAGAATTATGATCCAATAAACCAGACATACCCCCCCCC